GCTGGTGCAGGATAGGGGGAAGCTCTCCCATACACTCACTGGGCCTGGGCTAGAACTGGGTCTGGGGGTTCCGGGAACGCAGCAGAAATTCCTACTCTGACCTCTCTTAATTAAAGCTAGAAGCACTTATAAAACACTGTCAAACTCCATGAATAAAGGGATCTAAAAGCCAGTTGGTTACAATTGCTATGCCTCAAAATGTTTATAAATTTACCTGTTAGCTCAAATGCTTATGCTTTGATTATACAAGCTCTAATTTCCCAGAAAATTTGTTCTTTCTTAGAAGATACCAAACCAGTTGATCAAGCAGGTAAGTCCTGTATCAAACATGCTAGATTACATTTAGATTCCCTTCACTGGCACCCACCAGATTTTATCTATAGAGATATATTAAGGACTTAACTATCCACCTCATATAGCCCAGGTAAGCTAAGCCTTCTCAGCATTTCCTGACTCATTAAAAGAGAAGTCAACTTCATGTTTCTTGGGCAGGATTGCCTGCAGGAAGCCTTAAAACCAAAAAGTTGTACCTTGTTTAGTGGGCCCCAGATATCTGACACAAGCTGCAGAAGTTAGAAGGGTTTGCAGGAATAAATTGGTCTCAGTTCACATGTTTCATAGTAGAAAGAATACTGAATGGAAATATAGACAGAAAATGAGAATAGTGATACTAGCAGCCTGCAGGAATGAAGGCCATTTGGGAAATGGAGAAAACATTATGCTTCCCTGGATCCAGATAGAGAAAAGAGACATTTCAAGCAAAAATGTCCAAAGCTGCTAGAGAGGAAAAAAAAGTGTTCATGATGGAGTCAGAGGAAGTTTCAGATTGAGGTGGTCATGAGTCTTCCCCTCTCAGCCTAAGGGAACCCATGTTAATTGCCAATATAAGGAGAAAGCTTGTTAAACTTTTAATAGATGCTCATGCAGATGTCAGTAGTTACTCAGCCAGTGGCCCCACTTGCAAACTGGAGAGTACTGTGTTTTCCCTATTTCTGGTGATTCATGTGCTCCAAGAAATAGTAGAGTTACTGACACATAAAAGGCTAGTTTGAGATAATACCCAATGGGCATGGAAGATAAAGAGATCAAACCTCACATTTAAGAAATCTCTGTTAATGGACCTACAAAAAGTTCTGGATAGTCTTTTTATAATTACAAACTTTAAAGGGTTATTACATCCCAGATCCCTCTACTAATGTTGCAATAGCTGTTCAAAATATTAAGTGTCAAAGCAATGGTACGTAAAATGCTGAGGTCCCCGGAACCTATCTTTATCATCTTTATTGAAGTCATGACTGTTTACTTGGTGAAAATCATTTTGACTGTATTCATAAGTATCCTACTGATGTTATTATTTGGCCCATGTATGTTTAATAGTTTCTTTGGCTTTGTCTCCTCCAGACTCAAAGCTATACACCTACCCAAGATGAAAATGTCTGGTGTCTATTGAAGGCTTTTAGGTAGAACCTCTGGAGAGTATCTCTGACTGCTGATCAACAACTATGGCCCCTTTAAGCCAGAAGAAGCCAGAGCAGTCATCACCCATGGTTCCTTGACAGCAGTTCAGGTCACTTCTTCAGAGGGGGAATGTTGTAGCCAAATGAATTAGATTGAAATATTATAAGCAGTCAGACAAGGCCAGGCCCTCAAGGACAATAGGGAAGACAAGGTGACTTTGCAACTTGGAAGAGACAGATACTCCCTATGGGCCAGACCTCAACACAAAAGAGGAAACAGTACTCACTTTGGCAGCAAATATACTAAAATTGGAATGATACAGAGAAGATCTGCAGGGCCTGTGTGCAAGGATGACACACAAATTCAGGAAGCATTCAATATTTTTAAGTGAGACGCTGACTCTTAATTTGAAGAATGAAAATGATTCAGGGAATCATATGACATTTTCAAAGGAAAGTTTGGCAGTTGATGTCTTTAATTTAGGATCTAATGTCAGCCTGGCAAAAATAAAGCAGGACTAGATGCTCACTGAAGACAATAAAAAACAAAACAGAGAAGTCTTCCTGAAAGTTATAAGACATTAGAACTGAATATAGAACAGACTTCTCAGGTTCTGCAGAAAGAGAAAGAAGCCACTATGAATTTGACCAAATATTTAGAAACTAGCCTGAAGACTTATATAGTTACCAGAATGAAAAAGTCTGGCCACTAAGGTGGAACTTATAAAAGAAATTAGGCATGTCAACATCAATGTTCATTTTAGGAATAACCTTTCAGATGCTATAAAAATGTTGGATGAAGGGTGTATTACTCCTTTAGCTTCTGTGAATGAATTAAGAGAAAATTTGGGCAGAATACAAGCTGGCTCAGGAGGAGATCCAAACATGTGATAATGTGAATGAAGGGAATAATTTGATTGCCAAAAGAAATGAAGTGCAACAGAAGCTAGACATGGCAGTACAAATTTTTATTCTGGAAGTAGATGAATTACCACTTTATAAGCGCTTACAGACCTTGCAGAATTTATCAACTTCTTTAGAAGCAGTGTATGTACAGGCCAAAAAAGGAATAAACTCTGAAGAAATACTTAGAAAATTTAATTATTGGAAGTGTGATAAAAGAAAGGAGTTTACCAGTGTTAAGAGTGAAACAGTTTAGGGCCGGGGAGATGGCTCAGTGAAATAAGCGTTTCCCTGGCAAGCGCAAGGGTCTGAGTTCAATCCCTGGTTCCGCCCCAAAAAAAAAAAAAAAGAGTGAAACAGTTTGCCTGGCAAGCACAAGGGTCTGAGTTCAATCCCCAGTTCCACCAAAACAAAAAAAAAAAAAAAGAGTGAAACAGATGTTTTCTAGAAAAGGCTGAGTCGTGTATTTGCAAAGAACCCTATAGCTATCTCCAATTGAGCAAGGTGATGCAGACAGGGAGATCATTTTTAGTACTTATAGTCAAGTACTGCAGAAGATCCATTCAGAAGAGAAGCTCATTGCTACCATACAGTCCAAATACATAAAGACAGTTTTGAGTTTAAAAAGCAAATGACTGAATATATAGATAAGAACTCCAGTGTGAATCACTTTCCTGAAGATGTATATAGATATCAGAATGAAAAAAATCTGGCCACTAAGGTGGAACTTCTAAAAGAAATGAGGCATGTCAACATTAATATTCGTTTTGGGAATGATCTTTCAGATGCTATAAAAATGTTGGATGAAGGGTGTGTCAGAAGAAACTGAAAGGCTTAAAAGATAACCTGAGATGGAAATTGGTTGAAGAGAATAATTTGGAGGAATCTGATGACCCTGATGGATCTGAAATTGAAAAAATAAAACAAGAAATAACACAGTTATGTAATAGTGTCTTTCTAGAAATTTACCATGAGAGGGAGGAATATGAGAAATTGAATAACTTGGCACAGAAATGGTTCCCTGAGTCGCCTCTTCTTTACACTGAAATAAGATTACTTAAATACGTGAATTCTGGAGGTCTTCTACTATGAATTTAGAGCAAGATCTTTTTGATGCTGAGCCCATGAAGGAACTTACCAACAAGCATCCTTTGGTACGCACTGAAGTTAATGGACAGACAGTGCTTTTAAAGGGATATTCTGTGGATTTAGACAAAGAAGCCAGGGTGATTCAGAGAGCAGCCACCTATCACAGAGCCTGGAGAGAAGCTAAAGAAGAGTCTGGATTATTACCACTAATATTCCTGTTTTTGTGTAAGTCTGATCCTGTGGCTTATCTCATGGTCCCATACTATCCTAGGGCAAACCTGAATGTTATTCAAGCCAATATACCTTTATCATCTGAAGAAGCTTTAAACATTATGAAAGGTGTTGCCCAGGGCTTGCATGCATTGCATAAGGCCGACATAATTCATGGATCACTTCATGAGAACAATATATTTGCTTTAAATCATGAACAAGGAATTGTGGGAGATTTTGATTTCACCAAATCTGTGAGTCAGCAGGCCTCAGTGAACATGATGGTTAGTGGTTTGACTTTGACATCACCTGAACTGAAAATTGGTAAGCCTCCTTCTCCAAGTTCAGACTTGTAGGCATATGGCTGCCTCTTATTGTGGCTTTTTGTTCAAAATCAAGAATTTGAGATGAATGAAGATGGAATCCCAAAAGTGGATCCATTCCATTTGGGTGATAATATCAGATCTCTCCTCTGTAATTTGATGTATTTTAGAAATTCAATGACTGCTGAGCAAGTTTTGACTGCTGAATGTTTCTTGCTACTGAAGGTGAAATCAATTCTGAACCCAAAAAGAGGTTGAATATAGTCAGTGTGAAAAGGAAGATGAATTAAAAATGGAGAACTTGAAAACATGTAAAGAAAAGACAAGAAATGGTGAAGCCAACATTGATTAACGTTAATACTTTGTTGTTGCAGATGTTCCTTTAAAAAAAAAGAAAAGAAACTTTTTGTTTAATAGGTCAGAGATCTGAAAATGTTCTGGAACTAGTTGGATAGTATCTTTGGTGTTCACGTTGTGAAAAATAAATGTTTGATTGTGGCAAAAAAAAAAAAAAAAAAAAAAAAAAAAAAAAAAAAGGAAACATACAGCTACATACTTCCATAGAGAAGGACATCAGTGATTGATATTCTAAATAGGCACCAATCATCTCGAAAGAGCCCAAGTAAGTCACTAACCCCACCCCCAGCAAGAAGAGACCCTGTCCTATATTCATGCCCACTTGCTATGTGACTTGCTTCCGCATTTGGTACTGGATTTAATCAGTTTTACCTGAGCAATGGTGCTTGTGATCTCATTGGCTGACCATAGTTGTGTCCCACCTCATGCCCACCTAAGTGAGTTCCCACATTCTCCACCACCTCAGACCTGCCTCATCACATGATTTTACTCTATACAAGTTCCTGGAAGAGATAGCTTCCCAGGGACCACCCACTCAGGGCACCCCTTCTGTCCCTCTCTCAGACAGTTTTCTTTCCCCCAATGAATATATTGTGCCCATAAAAATAAATAAATAAATAAATAAATAAATAAATAAATGTATGCTCATTTTGGGCTGGAGAGATATATCCACCATCTAAGCACATGTCTGGCAAGCACAGGGACTGGGTTTGATCCCCGGCACCACAGGCAGCGCTGGCCCCACCTCCAGGCACGCTGACCTGACCACCAAGATTGGACGTGGTGGTGCACGCCTGTAATCCCAGCACTAAAGAGGCTAAAAACAGGAGGATCACTATGAGTCTGAGCTGCATAGTGAAACCCTGTACCAAATACATTAAAAAAAGAAATAAAAAAACATTTTCATAAACTTCTTTGCAGCTCAGTATGCAAAAAAATCAAGAATTCACAAGAAATACATAGGGTGTTTTTTGTTTTTTGAGACAAGGCTCTGCTATGCAATTCAGGCTGTCCTTGAGCTCACTTTTTAGCCAGGCTGGACTCACTTGCAACAATCCTCCTGCCTTAGCCTCCCTAGTGCTGAGATTATAGGTATGGCCACCACTGCTGGCAGATTTTAGATCTTCTTTTTTGAACAGGGTAGTGAATGAAGGCAGGAGACATGAAAAGGAGTATTGCGGGACTGTCCTGCAACAATGTTGTATATGGTTAGATTACTGGACTTATGTGTAAACATATATAATTCTTTATTCCTATTTTTTAAATATAGTTTAATTTTATAAATTTTTTGTCATATTCTGTAGGGACTTAAAGTTTAACATATTAATACTTGATGAAAAATACCTGTTCCATATTATGCCTAAAATGTTTGATATTCAGGCAGATAGTGAGGTTAAACTCAACCACCTAGGTTATATCGTAATAACAAAAAGCTTCTCTCCTGGAAAGACAACAACCTAAGTTTGCAGACTGAGAAGAAGGAGGGCTGCAAGGAAAGGCAACATTTTGTCCCTAGCCTTCCAAGGTCAATTAAGACTCAGGACATATGAGACCTTGTACTGTAACATCATGTAACTCAGTTGTGTCCCAAATTTTCAGATCATGGAGATTATGGAGCCAAAGAGGAAAGTGATCGATGTAGTAGAGTGTGCCTAAGGAGAGTCACATGGAGAGAAAACATTCTCTCAGCCTGTCACAGAGAGCAAATTGGCCAAGCAATGGCTATGACTCATCTACATGGCTGACATTGACAAAGGATCTACAAGGTAGAGCCGAGGTACAGGGTCTCAGGATAAATCCTGAGGGGATTTCACTGACCTTCTCAGATACAAAAGCTATAATTCTTGTTACATAGGTCTTGCTTTATCTTGGTCTTAACCACCCAGCAGAAAAGTATAAAAATGAAGTATAAGAAGTAAAGCCATGGTGTTATATTGAGCTGTAGAGGACTCAGGTCAACAACTTCTGACATTGCCAGTCAAGTGGAAGACCCAAAACTATTATGGACTACTGGACTATCTTGGAATACTCTGCTGAGTTCACACACCTATAAAATTTAAATGATGGAACTAAACAAAAAAAGGGGATACAGATGAATGACCATATTGTATCTGAGTATTCAAAATGGTTAGGATAGATATATAGCTACAATCTCTTAATTCAATGAATAGAGGGATTTGTTCTAATTGTGTTTGTAAATAGGATATTGTGTCTCCATCTTGTACAACAAATAACCATTGGGAAGACAGTATGCAATGTGTTAATTATTGAAACTGTCCTATCAATTTGATTTGCTATCTCATTGCTATTTCTCAATAAAATTATAGAAAAAAAAAAGAAATAAGTTAAAATATAGCACAGGCTTTAAAAATGTTCCTTTCATGAATAATATCTGTCCTTAAAACAATTAAAAGTTGTACAGTGACAAAAGACAAAAAAAAAATAGATCCTCTTTTTTTGTGTGTGTACTAGGGACCAAACTCAGGACCTTGCACTTGCCAAAA